CTTAAATTAAGCTAAAAGCTGAAATAAGCCCTACCAAACAGGGCCTGTGCCCCCATTTTTAGTCAATAGAAGGATAAATAGGCACATTCCATTGCCCTAGTCAAGATGTGTTTGTATTGTAGTCATTGAAGAGCATTCTAATTTATAGTCTTTAAGGGCAACTCTAATCCTGCTTTTCATTTTTTGCTAGTTAAAATATAAAAAAGAAATTTTTATTTTACCTAATTCATTTTTTATCTATGTTTGTCAACGCTATTATTTATTACTCTTCAAATGTAACTAGTCTTGAAGAATTTTATTAAAATAACTGTTGTAATAGCTAATCCATTGGTGTAAGGGGTTGTTTGGGATGACCAAAATAAGTGTATTTTTTGTCTTTTTATGAAAAGATGTGCAGAAAAGTAGAGAGGTGATGTAATGAAAAAAAAATAAAAAGATAAAAAGATGAATTATTTTATGTATGCCAAACTTGATCTAACTAAAATATGATGATACTAGTTATAATAGTTAACAAGCCCACATTAAATGGGCTCTTTAAAATAAGCTAACAAGCTTCATCCCCAATGGGCTCTTTAAAATAGCCTTATTAGCTATTATAACTAATTTTATACTATTTTACTCACTCTAATGGGCTAGCAAATACGATAGTTATTTTAATAATATTTTTGCAGACTAGTTATAGTTGGAGAGCATTGGAAAACTCTTTAAACTAATTTGTGTCAATAAATATGCAAAATAAAAAGTAATGTTGAAGCACATAAATAAAAAATTATTTAAGTAAAATAAAAAGTATATCTTTTTTATACTTCAGTTAGTGAAAAATGAATAATATCATTACAGTTGCTCTACGGAGACATCAAATTGAATGTAAGTGGGTTCAAATAATTTATTGATGGTAGTTTGTGTTTATTTTTAATTTTTTTAATTGTTTGGGAATGGTTAGTGATGGTGTAATTTAGAGTGATAGATGATAAGAGTAGTAATATGTGGTCCTTTTTAGGTAAATTACCAATAGGTTCTAATAGTCAGATTTAATTTTCATTAAATTCTATTGAAAACAAATCCTATTAAAATTGTCACTAAAAATAATTTTTGTGACGTTTTTTTGCATCTGTCGCTAAAAATTGACAATTCGTGACTTTTTTTGTCACGATTTTATAAATTATCTTTTTGTGACGAATTTTTCAAACTGTTGTTGAAAATTAAGTAGTAACATTTTTTTGTGACGATTTTTTTTTAAATTGCCGCTAAAAATTAATAATTAGTGACTTTTTTTAATAATGTTTGATGAAAAACACTATTACTTATCCTAGGACTTATTAGACAATAAATTCACCTATTAGGACCTACACATAAGTTTCTCTATTTTATATTGTATTTCTACTTTTATTTTTTTTAGAAAGTGTTATATTGTGTATCTTATTCAATATTTGAATTATCTCAGAATTAGGAAGAGTGATTAATAAAAAGGGATTTTTTTTTTTTTTAAGATCTTTAATATTAAGATTTTATAAGATAAAGTGTATATAATATTTTCATAATAATTAAGGTCCCTTGACATTTTCACAGAGAAAATTCGATTCAGAGAAATTTTGGTCACTCAAAGAAATTTCAGCCGATTTAGAAAAATTTCGGTCCCAACACAAAAAAAATTTCAATTTTAACAAATAAATTTTGAAATTTCTCTGGTATGATTATAAAGAAATTTCATCGAGGGATCTTAGCTAATAAAAAAAAAACTCTTGGATCTCTCCCACTACACAAAGTTAAAGAGGGATGTTTTACTAATTTTTCCAAGTGATTATCTGATAGTTTTTACTATCCCAATCTTCCAGTCGGTTGACATATTTGGCAGCGGAGTCCGTGGTAGCGGAATCTGTGGTCCCTTGAACGGGTTTGCACACATCCCCAGTGATGATGCACCAAAGTTTCTTTCCTTTGAGGAAGCCAGACATAGCTTGTGCCCATAAGACATAATTAGTCCCGTCAAGAATAACAAAAATAGGTTGGGTAGAGGAGTCCAAGCGATCCATGAGCGAAAAATAGCACAAATGAGGGAGAATCGGAAAAAACCGAGAGTACCAGTGAATTCAGATGGTCAAAATTAGTCAGAAAAGGACTGAACGGACCAAAAATATGACCAGAAAGGCTGAAAATGGAGTAGTCAACGCTGCTGGTCAAACAGGATGGCGCGGCGCACGTTAGCAGAGAGTGGCGCGGCGCACGTTAGCAGGCGAAGACACACGGCGCACGGAAGCAGTCAGGGCTGACGTCAGCTGACGTCAGAACACGCGGCTCACGTTAGCAGATGAGGCCGCGGCGCACAATAGCACAGGACAGTGTAGGAAGCGCGTGGAGCGCGTCTGGAACGATCAGGCGCGTGGCCGAATGTTCTGGTGGCGCGTGGGGGCGCGTGTGACGTCAGATGAGGATGAGTCTGGTGGCGTTGGCTTCGTCGTGGAGAGACGAAGGTGTTGGTACTGTCCAATCTGTGTATGAGGTAAAGGAGATGTACGCAGCAATCTGCCAAGAAAGATGTGATGCAGAGACTTAGGAAAAATACCTGTGCTCTGATACCATGAAAGACAAATATTGAAAGACAAATTATGAAAGACAAATTGAGAGAGTAATATTGAAAGAGAATTGTAATGTAAACTCTCTGTGTATTGAATTCTTGCTGTGAGGCTCCTTAATATAGGAGTTTGTTACACAAACATGATGATGATACCATGGAATATAATAAGGAAAAAAGTGGCCGAAAGATGGCGCACCACCGAAAGGGAATCCTATGTTGTCACTATAATATATTAATAACTTATATTGTATTCATATACAATTATATACAATTATATTTATATATTAACAGCCACCATTGTGTGGCAAAAAGTGCATTGAAATACAGGCACAGATATTTGTGGGACAAAGGATTCCTGGCCCAAAAGATATACGTGTTGTTGGCAATTATGTAATATGGACAAGGAAAGATGATAGTCGGTGTTTAATGCTTTTAACACAGCGTACACCGGTGTCTCATTCACAAAAATGGGCGTTTAGACATGTGTTGCCAAATATTTGAAACGTGTTGAAGTTAAAGATTTTTTTTCGCTTCGAATAGACATGATTGGACCTGTGTCCAATAGGTGTTGAGAAGTGCCATTAGTATCGTGTCACATTGATGACAGTAGGTGTTGAGAAGTGCTCATTAATATCGTGTCACATTAATGATTAAAATAGTATTCGACACGACATATATCACATTTTTAAAAGTGTCTATGCTTCTCAAATGCTATCCATCCTTATTCTTAATCCTCTGTAAGACAGTTATCACTTTTTCATTAAAAAAACAGACATGCTTACTGCTGAATTCAAAACTGAAATTGACACACCAATCATGATGAGGAATTAGATGTCGAATAAGTCCCCGTCTTCCTTTGAAGGTGCTCTGCAGAAAACGATTTTCATACCATGAATTTGAAGTTGCTTTTGAGTTTCTTTCTGCATTTTATTGGAATTGTTTTGAATTTTGACGTGTTGTTTTAGGTGCCACATTGCAGTTTGCATCGGCTTTTCAAAGGCGGAGAATGGAAATCAATAATAGTGCAACACACAACTGGATTATGAGGTATTGTTTGACAAATCTCCAATTAGAAGTGGGAACACTGTTTTGTTGTATAGAACTAGAGCGTTGTCGATGATTTACAGATTATGCACTTAGATTCTTCTACTTTTTATAACATGACAGAAAATGATGTATTGAATGTGCCAATCGATATGAGTGACCACAACACTATTTTTGATGCAATGTTCTCACATAGGACCTCAGTTCCCGCTGCTCAGTCCAATGCACCTCACCTGAACAACCAGAAACAAATCGCAGCTGAATTTCCTGCCCTTTCAATGTTGCACGGTGAGCCCATGAACAATGTTTATACTGGTTTCAACATATCAAATCTTGTTGGTCTCCTCGATTGCGATGCAACGCTTCCTAGGAATGCACCCCTTGGAAGAAACACCATTACAGATTCTTCATACCCAACAAATAACGCTCAGGTTCAAGAGCCATACTTGGGTGGAATGCCCATTTCAGCTGCATCAGTTGCTACCATTTTGGCTGCACGGTGTGGACCCCAGGATAACCTGAATGAATTAGCAACTTCCTCACCTTGTTCAGCGTATCCCCTGGATATTTTAAAATCTTCTGTTCCGAATGACTATGATGATGCCTTAAATTCTGTGTATGCAGCCTCCTTGAACTGTGAATATGATGGAATACTTGGTGCTATGAATGGTAAATGGGATTTTGACAAGTTTCTTGCTGATTATACTGGGAAAATCCCTGGAAGAACTGGCTTTCAATCGCACCAATTAATGGGAAATATTAATCCTGATGGGTGGATATCCTCAGACAATGCTAATGTGAGGTCTAGTAATCCTTCAAGCTCATCGAAATTTGGTAATGAGCTCTCATTAAGTCTTTCCATGTGCCAGCCTTCTATTATTCATGGAACAAGTGTTCCAGATCAATGCTTGGAAATAAGCTGTGCTGGTGTTACTCACCGTTCTTTGAATGGAAGACAGTTGGGCTTGGAAACATCTTGCGACAGTAAGAATCTCTCTCTGAGTTTTGGATCTTGTAGACCAGTCCAATTTCCGCAATTTTTATCTGGGTCTAGATATCTTCCCGTAATTCAAGAAATACTTGCCCAAATTGCAAGTTATTCACTTGAAAATCTAGTCAAGATGAACTATTCTGCTAGTCAGATTGGGGCTGGGGCAAAATTTATGTACTCTTCAAGTCAACATGCTGACAGAGGCTATTCTGTAGTGGGTTCTGATGATTTTCCCGATAGAGATGCTAGGTTTGAGGTTCAATTGGACCCTGTCCTGCAAGGACGGGACGTTGAAGCAAAGAGAAAGCAGTTGTTGGCTCTACTTCAAGTGGTATGTTGGCACAGTTTGATGCTTATGAACTCTTTTGCCATAGGTTTGTATGTATAAAGATTGGCGTATTTGTATGCAAGTCCTAAATTGAACAAAATGTTGAACAGTTTATACTTTATAGCATATTGAATTTATAAATTAAAAAAATAAAAAATAAAATGGTAGATTAAACTTGGTTCGGCCATAGTGCTTGACAAAGTTATCCTAGTCGACAATCTTGGTAATCCTTTCCTTTTCCAGAACCGATGTGGGCATCTTGCTTGCAAAGGTCCAGAAACTCGATTCAGCCAACTCATCCTAGTTCCACTGACCCTTTTTTAGTTTTTTTTTTTTTGATAACTGAGAGCTAATCCTAGGCTGGCTCCTCTGGACTCACCCCAGGACCACAAACTCGGGATGCCTCACGTATTGGGTAAAATATGACATTCGAACTCGAACTCAAGACCTTCTAGATAATTCGAGTAGTACTTGTTTCCTTTTCAACTTTTATTCTTTTGTGGGAATATGTTACAACATTATTCTATGTTGCTGAATGCCATTGACTGTCTCAGGTAGACAACCAATACAACCAATGCTTGGATGAAATCCATACAACAATATCTGCATTCCATGCTGCAACCGAGTTGGATCCTCAAATTCATGCTCGTTTTACTTTACAAAGAATCTCCTCCTCGTACAAGAACCTGAGGGAGAGAATTAGCACTCAAATCCTTGCAATGGGATCGTATTGTAACAAAGACACTAGGGAAGAAGATAGGTCGTTTGAGACATCCTTTATCCAGAAGCAATGGGCTCTCCAACAGCTCCGAAGAAAAGACCAACAGTTATGGAGGCCCCAAAGAGGCTTGCCAGAAAGATCTGTCTCGGTTTTACGAGCATGGATGTTTCAGAATTTTCTTCACCCGTAAGTTCCTATACTAGAATGTGGCAGACATCTGAGCTTAAAGACACATTTACAGTTATTGTGCTTGGATTAAATCATTTACCAATGTTCCTGAATTATTTCAAACAATCTTACTTAATGCATCTTTTTTCTTCGTTTTCTGTTAGTTACTTGTTGATAATATCTGTTATATTGTTATTACTATTATCAAAGATTGGTAGCCCACAACTTCAACACTATCGACCTTGAAGTTGTGGGTGCGAACCTGAGTATAGTCACTTTGTGCAATATTGTCAAAGGTTAGGTCCGTACCCAATCTATCTTTTGTAAACCCTATCCAATGGGGAACTAAATTGAATGTGTTATTTTATTTATTTATTTATTTTGGGTTGTAATTTCAACTTTTGACATATACTAACCATAGCTAAATTTTCCCTCTATTCTCTGTTTACTAAAAATATTCAGACAAACCTGTTGGCTCTTCAAGATCATTTGATTTCCTTCACTCATGACTAGCAACAAAATTCTAGCATAGGGAAACTGAAATTCTTTTCATTGTCATTAATCTTTGAGTGAACTTTTTGTTTGAATTACAAATTTTGTTCAGGTATCCTAAAGATGCGGAGAAGCATTTACTTGCCGTGAGAAGTGGATTGACAAGGAGCCAGGTACATTCAACTCTGGTACATTGGATTATATACGCTCAATGCAGCTTCTGAATTGTATCTTTAAATGCGTCTTTTCTTTGTACTTTCCTTTGCTACCAAGATACACATTTGCTAATTTTCTGTGACATTCATATTTGGTTGATACCAACTCAATTTAAATTTCACCATATGCAAACTTTGTGTTTTCTCAATTTTCAGCATCTTTGTTCATTGTCTCATTGTCTCTTATGGGTTGTTGTGACCAGGTGTCCAATTGGTTTATAAATGCACGAGTTCGTCTCTGGAAACCAATGATCGAGGAAATGTACACAGAGATGAATTGGAGAAAAGGCAGGAGGAACCATGAAGACACAGACAAAAATCACAGAAGCCACAAAAGCATTGAAAGTCAGAGAGTTAACATGAATTGACGATGAAATACAGGTAGTTATAATGAAAATGGAACCAAGCATTTCTTGATCATTCCAAAGGAAACATGGTACATGTGCAAAAATGGTTGCAACTGTACATAATGCTCTATATATTTAGGGTTTAGCAAGTGAAATATGTTTAATTACTTGTTATTTAGCTTTAATATTTTGCTATTCTAAATTTTATCAGATTTTCAAGTAAATTACACAGTAATGTTGTATGTGTCTGTGTGTTTTCTCAAGTTTGATAGCCTATTCTATAGATGACATTATTGGATTATACTGAAGGTCAACTTCAATTAAAACATTCAGATTCCCCCTACTGATAGCACACAGTTAGAGCCAGTGTCTTAGGAGAGGTTGGGTGTTCTGAAAGTTTTGAATGTTCAGTGCAATTTTTATTTATGATTCATGAAAGAAAATTGCTGATTGAATTAAGAGCCGTCTGTATACGGAGAGTTTGCTCTGTTTTATTTTCTGAAGAAATAAGTAAGTAATTAAACAATACACACAGCATATCTTTGGAGAAATGCTGTAATATAAAGAGTGACGTGATTAATTAACTGGTACCATTATTTTCTGGATATAATAAACTTTACTGAAAAAGAAACCAACCATAAAAGTTGTTGGAAGATATGAATATAACTGTCTTCAACAGGCAATTAGAATTGAAAAGCATAATCCAAATGATCCTTTTCTTCAAAATGACATGCAACTTCAAAATCTTGCCCTTAAACAACAACAAATTCAATTGAACATGAAAAGAAACAATGAACAAGTGTGTTTAACAACTGACAAAGCATAAGTTCTTCTCCCACCTCTTATTTTGGGGATGTACAGATAACTTGGCCCTCAACTAACATTTCATTTATGATTACAATTGAAAGAATCCGAATCTCTCCTTTTCTGAACTTTTTGGTTTGTACCATTCTCTTTTCCGTCTTATCCACAATCCTCCAATAATTTCCACATTTATAATCCCCATCCAATCAGGTGAAAATACAAATTCTTTCTTCATATATATAGATTACAAAAAAAAAATATCTTGCTCCTACCTTTTATCTTCAAGAGATTCGTGTTTTTATTGGCTTTAACTTCAAGCCCATACTCTCTGGTGAGAAAAGCTCTGGAGAGATGGAAGTCGGGCTCAATGGACTTCTTGGGCTGACATTGAACTGAGATGGCCGGTAGAAGCCATATCCCATGAGGAAGCATTCCATCGGTATCAGCATGGCATGGGGCTGCTCCTCTGTCACCATCGACCCACATGCCTGAACCTGAAGAACCAAACCCGCCCTTCAGTGAAAATGACTTCAAGCATTTTTATGTGAGAAAAACTTTAGGACCAGATAAGTGATACTACAATGACCATCTTATCTTGCCATTTGACGTATTCAGTCTAGTTATCAACACTATATCGGGCATATTATACTAATAAGATGATAAGCATAATACGGTATAGAAGTATTATTAAGTATAGAGCATTATTGTAACAAGATTGTCAAAACGCCAATGGTTTATACCTCGACTAAGGCACTATGTCTTCTATCTAGTTTCGAAGTCATGTGTAATGCCTCTGCATGGAAAGGAGAATTCTCCCCAACAAATATTAAAGACCGGCATTGTAGTGTCTTCAGTCCATCAGTGATGTCTGGTCTCCTGCAGGAAAAATGACATGTAAGCCAAAAATTGACAGTGTTGGTATATTCCACATTCTTGATGGTTCTTTTACCTTGGAAGAGTTTTTTGCTTTTTTAGTGAACTTTTTTCATGTTTTAATTATTTTTTTTTTTTAAAATGTAGATGTACCTAATCTATGCACCTTAAAAGTAATATTTGTAAAGAAATCTGAAAAAATTAGCTAAAATATGAAAAAAAACAAAAAGGGTTCACTGAAGACCCAAAAAAAATGAAAAAAAAAATAAAGCTCATAAACAGTTTTCAAAAACTGAATCAAACAAGGTGATATGTCTAACTATCCCAAAACAGTGTGTGAATCTCTCTCTCAAATTTGTCCTTTTGTCTAACTGGAAATTAAATGACTTGTGGAGACAGATTTCACCGTTGAATAGCTTCAAGAAACCGTATAACATTTGGACTCTGCCTCTCATCCAGCAACTGCAAAAAGAAAAAACATTAATGGCAGCAATCAGAGAAGTGCCAACCTCTTGCTATTCTCCTTTTCCATGTTCCTATTATGAAGCAGCTTATTGAAAGTTAGAAAACAAAAATTGAAGCACTTACTCTTCTGCATGCTTGAACCATATCCGATTCTGGTACTTGTGAATTACCACGAACTTCCTGTAATATCATACAGAATCCAATTAACCCGTCCAAAACACTAGAAAAAGTGCATTAGAACAAATTGCAAGGACAAAAATACCTTGCTGAAGTAACGCATAAGCAATAACTCCTTTGCCACACTACACGTGCCATAAAAGTAAAGTAAATTTGACATGACCTGCAAAGGATGTACTATCTTAGGCAAGAATGAGAATTTTTCTCAAACAAGTGACAAATAAAAAGTTCAGAAAAGGAACCTGGTTATACAACCATTCTGTCCACGACGGTGCTTTACATAGAGGAGAAACTAGTATCAAACCAAGAACACGCTGTGAATATTTCATCTGTGACCAAGTTGTAAAATACCCAGTTCAATAAAATCCCCCAAAAAAACAAAAATCAAAACATAGAAAATTAGGCTGTCTGTAAAAGATGCATCTTACAGCAAACAGGGAAACGATATAAGCTCCAGCAGTCACCCCCATAAACATTACTGCACTGAGTCTAGAACAGGAACAAAAATTGCAAATCAAAGAAAAATCAGCTTTTCAATATATATGTCAAAAATCACTGAATCTATTTAAATCAAGAAAGTCTACAAGTTCCTTGTAAGGTAACACTCAAAAAGGCAGAAAATAAAGAAGGCTGTAACACTACAATTACCCAAAGTAGTCAAGAATCTCAGCAATCTGATCTGCCAAGTCATCAACAGATAGCTCTTGGTCATCAGGCTTAATTATGGCCGCACCCAACTGCAATAGCTCTTGAAGAAAGTAACAGATAAGAAACAATGTGAATAAATAATTGTTAAGCATATATGTTTTGGATATTATTATTTATTATTAGGGTAGTTTAGTCTTTTGTATTTTTAGGGTTTGTTAGCTTAGATATATATATTTCACTTTGTAACCTTTATTTGTTATGCTTAATGTACTATCATTGTTTTTCTCTTTTCTGAATTATCATGGTATTAGAGCTAGGTTTTAAGCCTAACCTTAGCCGTTGATGTTGTAAGTGTCAAGTGACTGCCACAGTGTCCCACAACTGCTGGATTGCTTCTGCGTGTGTTCGGAATTAGCCTCAGGTTGCAGATATTCCCATTCGAGTTGTTCAGCAAACTCGTCTGGTGCTGCCCTCTCTTCTTCGTGATCGTCTGGCTGTTCCTTCCGCTTCGTGACTCCATTGATGCTCTCTCTCTCTCTCTTCGTGGTTTCATTGTGGACTGGTTTGGTGGGCTTGATTGCTGTTTTTGTTGCAACAGAAATTCAATTCCTTAGTTCTGTTGCTGTTCTGGTTTGGTTTGCTGGTTTCCTTGTCTTCCCTACTTTGCTGGAGATAGTTTGATTGCTTCGTTTGGAGTTTGTTGCCCTACTGTTGTCTCTCTGTACTGCTGCTGCTACTGTCTCTCTGTTCTGGTTCTGGTCTGTTTCTTTGGCTGGTGAGTTTCTCTTTTGTGTTTTCTTCATCATGACTGGTGGTACGTCTGATTCCCTCCAAGCCATTGGTGTTAAGTTAGTAGGTGATAATTATACCTTTTGGGCATGTGTTATGAAGAATTTTCTTCTTGGTAAAAATGTTTGGACCTATGTTACTGGTGAATCCTCCATGCCCTCTGGTGTTAAACTTGAAAACTTTAATGCGCTTCTCTCTACATGGCAAGTCACTAATGCCAAGATTGTTACTTGGATCAACAATTCTGTGGATCAATCGATTGGTATTCATTTTTGCAAAGTTTACTACTGCCAAAGAAATTTGGGATCATCTCTCTCGTCTCTATGTTCAGTCCAATTTCGCAAAATGGTATTAGTTAGAACATGAGATTCAGGCTACTTCTCAAGGTGACCAGAGTATCCAAGAGTTTTATTCTGTTATGGCTGGGTTATGGGATCAATTGGCCTTTACGAGCCTAAGGCATTGAGTACTCATACAGAGTATTGTTCTTATCGTGAGGAGCAGCGTTTGGTTCAGTTTTTTATGGCACTTAGAGTTGATTTTGAGGGACTGCGTGGTACCATTCTTCATCGTAGTCCTCTTCCCACTGTTGACTCTATTGTGAATGAATTGTTAGCTGAATAAACTTGTTTCAAGGGCATTCCAGGCAAAGGTTTACTTCCGTTGCTGAGTCAGACTATTCTAGCTGTCCCTTCTAGTAATCATAGTCGCTCCTCCGTTCGCACACTGCTGGATGAATGTAATTTTTGTCATCAGAAAGGTCATTGGAAGGCTCAATGTCCTCGACTTACTGGATGTTCTCATTCTGGTTCATCCTCATCTTGGAAGAAGGATAATGATCACTCCTCTGTGTCGCTGATGCCTTGGAAAAAGGGTTGGAACTCCTATACTGCAGCCACCATTCCCTCCATAGAGGATACATGCCCTTCATTGACTTTCCATACTGAGCAAGTTCATGCCATGCAAAAACTACTCGCTGCCACTACGCCTAGTGCCCTCTCGGTCTCTTCCTCTTTAGGTTTGCCTCCCTCTTCTTCTTCAGGTATTTCTCGGTCCACTTGGTCTTTGACTCTGGTGCTACTCATCATATGGCTAATGATGTTTCCTTATTTACCTCTATTTTTTCTCCTTCCACTACTACTGTTATGGTTGCTAATGGCACTCCCATGCCGTTAGCAGGAGTTTATTCTATTTTGACTGATTCTCTCTCTCTCTCTTTCTGATATCTATTGCATTCCTCAACTGACTTTAAATCTCATTTTTGTTAGCAACTTTGTGAACTTGGTTATCATGTTCACTTCTCTTCTTTTGGTTGTGTTGTGCAGGATCCTCATTCCATACAGCAGATTGGGCTCGACCGTAAGTTGGGAGGGCTATATGTTCTTGAGCAATTTCATGTTCCATCGCTTGCTGCAACTTCCGTTGATTTGTCCTCTTTTCGTCTTAGTTCTCATTCCTCTGAGTTTTACATATGGCATTCTCGCCTTGGTCACATTTCTCGCTTTCGTTTGCAATATTTAGTTTCGATTGGTGTTTTGGGAAATTGTAGTACTCATAATATTTCAAATTGTAGTGGTTGCAACCTTGGAAAATTTACAGCTTTACCTGTTTATAAAAGTACTACTATTTCTTCTGCTCCTTTTGATCTTGTCCATTCGGATGTGTGGGATCCTACACCTATTCCTACTAAAGGGGGTTCTAAATATTATGTGCCCTTTATTGATGATTATACTTGTCATTGTTGGATTTATCTTATGAAACATCGGTTTGAATTTTCTTCTATTTTTTCTACTTTTCGTGCCATGATTCATACACAATACACTGCTGTTATTAAATGTTTTCGTTGTGACTTGGGTGGGGAATATCGGGATACTAGCTTTCTTCAATTATTACAATCTGATGGTACTCTTCAGCAGTCTTCCTGTACTGAAACACCTAAACAAAATGGTGTGGCCGAACATAAGCATCGTCATATCATGGAGACTGCAGGTTCTTTATTACTTTCCTCTTCTGTTCCTAGTTCCTTTTGGGATGAGACTATTCATACCACTGTTCATCTTATTAATCGTATCCCCTCTCAGGTAACCTCTGCTATCTCTCCATTTGAACAATTGCATGGCAAACTGTCCTTCGTGTGTTTAGTTGTACTTGTTTTGTCCTTCTTCTTCGTGCTAAAAGCACTAAGTTGTCTGCTCGTTTTGCTGTGTGTTTTTCTTGGGTATGGTGAAGGTCAAAAGGGTTATCGCTGCTATGATCCTTCTTCTAGACGTCTCTATGTTTCTCGTTATATTGTCTTTCTCGAACATATTCCCTTCTTTTCCATTCCATCTACCTCGACTTCTGTCTTTCGGTTTGATCTTATTTATCTCGAACCCTTTCCTGATAATATTCCTTCTGATTCGTATGTCCGTAACCTCTCTTCTTCTGATCTTCCCGCTTTGTCTTCCTTTCCTTCTCAGTTGTCTTATGATGTTCTTTCTCCTCCTCCTATATTCATACTTATGTTTGTCGGAAAAAGCATGACTTATCTACAGGTACTACTACTGTCCCTCCTTCAGTTGAGGACCTATCTGCGGTTGATGACAAGGCTCCTGCTTCTCGCTATCCTCAAAAAAATCATAAGTCTCCTAATTGGTTTGGTTTCTCTAACTGCTGTTATTCTTCTACATTTTATTCTTTTTTGGCTTCTATTCACTCTATTCCTGAACCTATCTCCTATAAGGAGGATGTTTCTAATCTTCTTTGATAGCAGGCTATGAATGAGGAGCTTTCTGCATTGCATGCTACTGGCACTTGTTACCTTGTTCCCTTTCCTTCTAGTCACCATGTTGTGGGTTGTCGTTGGTTTTATAAAATTAAAACCAAGGCTGATGGTTCCATTGAGCGGTATAAGGCTCGTTTGGTTGCTAAAGGGTTTTCTCAAGAATATGGAATCGATTATGAGGAGACTTTTGCCCCTGTTGCCAAAATGACCACTGTTCGTACTTTGATTGCTGTTGCGGGCCGTTGGCCCTTTTCCCAAATGGATATCAAGAATGCCTTCTTGAATGGTGATCTGACTGAAGAGATCTATATGGCTCCTCATCCTTCTGGCTCTGTGTGTAACCTGCACAAAGCATTATATGGACTCAAACAAGTGCCTCGTGCTTGGTTTGAGAAATTTGCTATTGTTGTATCTGTTTTGGGTTTTCACACTAGTGATCATGATTCAGCTCTCTTTTTTCGCTCTACTTCTGCTGGTAGGATTATTCTTCTCTTGTATGTTGATGACATGATCATCACTGGTGATGATCTCTATGGCGTTTCTACTCTCAAAGATCACCTTAATTGTCATTTTCAGATGGAAGATCTTGGTCCTCTTTGGTATTTCTTAGGGATTGAGGTGGCTTCTTCTCCTAAAGGCTATCTTCTTTCTTAGTCCAAATATGCCTTAGAGGTCATTCAACGTGCTCGTTTGACTGATACCTATAAAGCATGGATACTCCAAAATCGGTGCCATGGCGATGTCCGACACGCGGACACGTCGAGGACACGAGAACACGTACAGGACATGCCAGACGACGTGTCATTTTAATTTAATGATTTTTTTTGTAGAGGACACGACGGGGACACGTATATCCATATAGGAACACAGCATGGGACACGGCGAGGCTCACTCTTTTTTTTTTATTTTTTTTTTTGGCCTCTTATTTAGTGCTTTTATTGGATGTTAAATGTTTTCCCCTTCTCGTCTTAGTTCTTGTTATCGTTTATTATGACTCTTTTGTGAATAGATGATCTATTAACTTGTTTAAATATAGTGGTTATATTTATTGAATTAATGTTACTATGTTAGTGTTTGTTAATTTTGATTTCGGATGAATGTAATATGAATCTACATAATACATAAAAATATAAAAAAATAAAATTCGTCGTATCCCCCGCTGTGTCCGTGTCCCTATTTTTTGAAAATTGTTGTGTCTCGTGTTCATGTCCTTGTCTGTGTCCGTGCTTCATAGACTGATACTCGCACTATTGACACTCCACTTGCCCTTAATGTGCATTATACTTCGACTGATGGGATTCCTCTGTCTGATCTTACTTTCTATCGTGTTCTTGTTGGCAGCCTTGTCTATCTTATTGTCACTCGTCATAATATTACCTATGTTAACCATGTTGTTAGTTAGATTGTTACCTCTCCTACTACGGTTCATTGGGCTATGGTTCTTCATATTTTACGGTATCTTCGTGGGTCTCTGCATTAGAGTTTGCTTTTCTCCTCTACCTCGTCATTGGATCTTCGTGGCTATTCTGTGCTGATTGGGCTGGTGATGCTATGGACTGTACGTCCACTACTGGTGTTTGTGTGTTTTTAGGTACTTCCCTTACTTCTTGGAAGAGTAAGAAACAAACAGTTGTTTCTCGTTCTTCTGCTAAGACTGAGTACCGTGTTATGGCTACTAATATTGCTGAAATTGTTTGGTTGCGATGATTTCTTGCTGATTTTGGTATTTCGCTTTCTGTTCCTACTTTTATGTATTGTGACAATGAGAGTGTCATTCAGATTGCTCATAACTCTGTCTTCCATGAGCAGACTAAGTATCTTGAGATTGATTGTTATTTTGTGCGTCATCCTTTTCAACTTCGTACTTTGTCCTTGCCATTTGTGCCATCTACCATGCAGTTGGCTAATATTTTCACCTAGTCTCATACGACTTTGTGCTTCCGCGTTCTGCTTAACAAACTCTTGATGCTTCCTACTGTCACATCATGAGTTTGAAACAATGTGAATAAATAATGTTTAAGCATATATGTTTTGGATATTATTATTTATTATTAGGGTAGTTTAGTCTTTGGTATTTTTAGGGTTTGTTTAGTTTAATATATATATTTCACTTTGTAACCTTTATTTTTTATGCTTAATATACTATCGTTGTTTTTCTCTTTTTTGAATTACCAATAATTTACCGATAAAAAAATGCATAAAGGAGCATAAAAACAAAGAAAGTAATTAGAAGCACAACCATAATAAGCTATCAAGTTACCAAGTTACAGACCTCATGCCCAGGAGGACTAATATGGTAGATGCAAAAGTTATGGAGCAGCAAGGAATATGCTTCTGAACACGAGAATAACCCTCGAAAGCAGGACATATCTGCTCAAAAAATACACAAAAATAAGAGATAAGTTAGTTAAACAAAATGAAGCTTTGAGTACCAAAAAAGCAAATGCAAATTAGTACAAACGTTGAAATTTCTTTGAAGTTTTCAAACAACAAGAAGCTCTTGATTGTTTTTAGCTATGCAGAGAACTTTCCACATATTTTGACAGCTTGGTCAATTCTCTCAAACAAATTTCAAATAAATATGTGCATTTATATTATATAAAATGTACAACTCTTTTGTGATCATAATTTCATCAAAAATGAGCAAAATATTTTCACATTTCAAACAGAATATAGTTTTCGATGACAAAGTCGTGCAACAGCGAAGAATGTTTATGACAACATCAGCTCCTGGGTCAAAGATCAAAATCTGTAAAAATTGATTACACATTGCATTTGATCTGTGCTTACAATTCAACGCTACGTCAGGATAAGTAACAAGAGCCGGCTTGTCCAGATCTCCAAACAATGCAACAGACACAGAACCGCAGCTAGTTTTTATAAGGTGCTCCTGAAGGAACAGTAGAAAATGCAAACATCCACATAAATAACCTTCTGAACAGCAAAGAACATAATCAAAAAAATGGAAAATAAATCCATATCAAAACTCCTAATTCGAGGAATATAATATGCTAGAAAGATTGGCAAACACTACAACCATGTACTGCTTAATAAAAGCTAAACCTTCTGTTAGAAGTCCACTCCTTTTTGGGTATCCATTGCTTCAAAAAAACAATTAAGTCATACCCAAGTCAAGAATCTTTCTTTTTGAGTGAATTTGCATCCACAGAGATTGGCTTATTAGAACCTATTATTCTACTCGAAACAGCAAATTGACTTTTGTTAAAAGGATCAAATGTACAACAAGAAAGAGAATAATATACTAACAATTGGATGTATATCATTCACTTCAGTATAGTATTTGTTAAAAGAGTCCACGAACATTTCGAAAAGAAAGAAAGAGAAAATAAAATTAAATATTGCCAGTTGTATGTGTCCATATAAATGGCCTTGTCAATTCTTAAAGAAGCGGATCCACCTCGGACTTACATAAGTGACTTGCATAAGATATCTCGCTATACCACAATTGACTATTCAAGTACTGAGGTCATTAAAAGTATCAGCTTAATTGGTGAAAAAGAAGAGGGCAAAAGAGAAAGAAATCATTCCATGTAGACTTTCAGAAATTAGTTATCTCTACACCTCTGAGATCCAAAATCTCATTTTTGCACACACAAAAGTATTTCTAATAATCACACATGAAAGAAAGGAAATTAATTTTATTAGACAGACCCACAAAATTATCAAATTAAAGAAGACAAAATTAACATTACAATTATTACCCAATATCAAAATCTACCTAGTTCATTCAATGAAGTTCTGCAAACACACTCATTCCAACAAAAGATGCTTCTCTAAATGTTCAAAATTTTGTAATTAATTTCAATTCAGTAACCAGAAAACCAATCCATTTGGGCAGGTTATCAACTGAAAAAGTTTCTAAATCAATACATGAACTCAATACATAAAATGAAATACCCATCTCAAAAAAGTATCTACAAGTGCATTAACTAAATGAAACTGCAACAAAAAAAATAAAACAAAAATAAGTTCATCCTATTCTACCTAACAAAGAGAGAATAAAAAAAATAGTCATTATTAATGGTCATTCATTAATCAAGGGAATGATTCAGAAATCAAACCTCAAACTCAAAACAAAAATGTTTCCAAATGAATGTACTTTACAAAGAAAACTGAAGAATCAGAATCATATGAAACAAATGTAGCTCAAAGTATATACATTTTCACAATTAATATACATAGATATGTATGTATTTTGTATATGTGTAAAAGACTAACCTTCCCGCCAAGAGAGATTGTCTCCATGTCAACGGAAACAGAATCGCTTGAATCCGCCATTGGCCGCGGTTTCTCTTACTTTCTCTCTCTAAAACTCTCTCCCTCCCCCTCTCTCTCCAAATTTGAGACGCATGGGTAGCCTCAATCGGCTTATATACGAATCTCTACGGATTTTTCTCTCTCTAGATTTGTATATATATTTTTAAATTTCTTTTTTAACAATATCACTTGTAAAATCCAACACAATTTCTTCGCATAGAGTGAACATCATATACTACTTGATGAACATTTTCATAATCTATTTAAAAAAATTAAAAATTTATAAATACTAGTTATCATTTTTAATCTATTTAAAAAAATTATAAATTTATAAATACTAGTTATCATTTTTATATATGTTTCGTTATTTTATACAAATCTTTTTAAAATTAATATTTATTTTTTTATGTTTGACAATAGTGATAGTGAGACGAAGGTAAAAGCGAAGGTGGTGTGATATGATGGCAGGGTGACGACGATGATGATAATGATAGTAGCGGTAACAGTGACAATGATTAGCGTGATGTTGGTGTGGTGGTTTATTTTGTATTTAATTTTGTGATTAATTATGTGTGTGTGTATATATATATATAATCACAAGGGGATTTGTGAAATGAGACTATTAATCACAAGGGTGAGAATGTAATTTTCAGAACGTCAGGAGGTATCAATTGGACTAAACCTCAGGGGTGTCAGTGTAATTTATCCTATATTTTTTTAACTTATAATG